CGCGTACGAGTCGAAGTTACCACGGCTACACGCGCGGTTGCGGTGCAATTCATTCATTACTCATCAGCAGCTAGGCACAAGCCCACACCTACGGCGGCAGGAATGTATGTGTTAGGTCGAGGGGACGAAATACAGAAATGGAGAAAGGAGAAAGGAGAGGGGAGATTGATGTTTCACCTCTAATGGAAGGGGATGGAATCTCTAATATATGTTTAAATAACGTGTTTTGGGCGGATTTTATTACCCATCAAGTTATATCTGATAGAGAGATATCTAACTTCTTCGCGCTTGAAAGGAATGAATAAAATATTTCATGTAAAAAAAAACTGACTTTTTGCGCAATGAAACCTCATTTATTAATGTTAGATTTGGTGGATTCAGTGGAGAGATTTCAAACTATAAATGTTTTAAATATTTTCCATCGGATGCAGCAGCAAAAGATCTCATCTGAAAAGAGGGGGGTGGGGGGGAAATAGAGAATTAATAACAGTAGATAATTCAATCACATTTAGTTAATTAATCTGATTACATATATCGATCAATTCTAGTATTCAAATAACATCTTGATACTTTTAACCCTCTTAAGAGGTGGGTGGATGGCATCTATATAGGCTAAATCATGGTCCAAAATGGGACCAAATGGGATCAGGACTATTAATTTATAAATAAAACATGATCTGGGACTAGAATTATAATATAAACAGTGTAAAGTGACTGATTTGACAAACAATATATGGGACCAGGACTAAGATATTTGAAAATGGGACTGAGGTTCAAAGTTGGTCATGGTCCCATGCATGGTCACACTGTCAGTCTATAAATTAAATCATAATAAAAGGACCCAACCCCTCTTCAAATGGATATTATCACATCTTGATAGTTATAGGTGGGTCGGGTTACGGCGTGTTTGAACCCGACCCTCACATAACTAGTGGTTATATGCGGAGGCACAGTCACTCAGCCATCAACACCACTGCATATAACCAGGTTATTACTGGTGTGTGTTCAATTTCATGTTCATACATACAGGATACTTGTATTTAGTAAGAGAAACACTATTAAATTCAGTTATTTTATTTCTATTGGTAGCTGTCACTGCTGAGATGGGCAAAAGAGTTCGATCACCACCAGATGCCCTGAGGTGATGCCTTCGGGGTATTATTTCCACAAATGATAAAACTCGGTGTTTTGTATGATATGCAAACGGGGGAATGTCTGAGGCATGGGGTGCATTGGTGCATTGATCTTCAAAACTTTTTCTATACGACAGGACGGAATTTCCTAGTTTAGTTCATCCTGCCTAAGCCCACCCAAAATATTTTTTGACTTAGATATTTATATTGGCGTCATCCTTTCAATTCTTATGCTCTCCATAAGCTATGCTATTCCAGACCTATAACCCGTCAACTGACGAGCCGAGCTCGGGGGTTTCTGGTGGAGTGATAGTCCAGCCAAATAA